CCTGAAAAGACCAAACATAAGAATTTTTTGATAGACTTGCCATGAAAACTTCCAGACCTAGTGAATCTTGTTTAATTGAGAGCCAGACCAGAAATGCAGAGTGAACATTTGACTGTTTTATGCTTTGGGACACAGGACTCAGACTGCCAGTGAGGTAGTCAGTCTTCTGTTGAAATACAGGACCTAAGAACTGAGACCTCAATTTTCCCATCAGGGGAAAAAGATTCATTACAAGGAGTGACTGGAGGCCCTCTTTAGATACGAGGAGGATAGCCTAAAGGATTTTGCTGCTGCTCAGATACTGGGACAATTCCTTAAAAGCAGCATTGCATTTGGACTCTCACCCGTTACAAAAACCTTCTCCTGTATTTTGGTTAGGATGGATTTAAGAGAATTGTATTTTGACACATTGTGCTATAGTATTGACCAGTTAAATTGTATTATGGTATTGACCTGTTAATGCTTTAGTTCACTATAAGATGTTAATGATTAAAAAATGATTAGAACTTATCTAAGTAAAGTTTGACATTAGCAATGAATTCTTGAATTTTACATGTTTGATTAGACACATTTAGATTTTGATACTGTTGAATACTCTAGACCAATTCAAAAGTGGGCATTCCCAGCCCTGGTGATCCTATACTCCTTTAATTAGGAGATATTATAGCCATAGAAGTAAGCATAGCACAAAGTATTATCTGCTTGCTTACATTAGCTAAATGCAGATGAACTCTCTTGTTAGAAACGGCTCAGAGACACAGAGTCCAGTACTTTCTCCTTTAACCCTTTATTTACAGAGGCTGACAGTCAGTGACAGGTTTGATCCTTTTTTCCCCAGGTGCCTAAGACATGGACTTGCAAATTTGGAAGGCATGTTCAGAAGACGAGTAGGTCTATGAAATGGAAAAGTGTTCACCTAAGGCAGAAGCAACCATCTGCCTGATGCAGAAGCAGAGGCATTATTAAAATTAATAAAAAAGGGAGGAAGCCAAAAAAATATGAACCTATTTCCATGTAGACCAAAGGTCAAAGAGTTGAAACTTACCTCTAGTTCTTTAAGGTTATTGTGCCTCTACCTCAAACAAAGGTCCCACATAGATGTAGATCAGAGAGTTCTGCTCTCTCAAGGTTATTGCCAACAGGTATAGCTAATAGCCAGAGTTTGTACTCCAAGAATAGAAAAGTAGGTATGTTCCTACCTCAAACAAAAGTCTAAGGATCCAACTAAATTCCAATTCCCTTAAGAAGATAACTTTGGATTCTACCCAGGGAGGGGTTTGCCTACAGAATGCTTTGGTCTAGGGTATAAATGTGACTTGTTTTGTTCTAGCAACAGAATGTTTCACTATGAATGTAGCCTGTGACTTTCAATTGGTATGTTCATTTCCTTGTATCTATTAATGTAGTTTTTTTTGTCTTATTCCTACCTTTTGGAGTCAGGGGTATTTAAACCAATTGAAAATTAAATGTGGATGAATTTTTAGTACTCACTGGAATTCTCTCCCAATACTATTCTATATGTTTCTCCATTTTATTATTTTCGTTTGCATCTTCATATTCCTTACTATATTTCTAATCGAGGGTGGTCCCCAAGAAGAGAGGAACTCTGAAGCACAGGTTGTGACTGCAAAGAGTAGATCAAGAGAACACACCAAGAGAGATCCCAGTGGCTCCCTCAGACACAAAGAGTGACAGTACAGAATAGATCAAGTACAGTAACCAAAGATACAGACAGCCACTGCAAGGATTGGACTGAGGCAAAGACACTGGAGGAAGAGATGAATAGGTGCCAATGCAAGAATTAGGTTGTTGTTCACTCAACAACCTAAAAAGCAGAAAAGCAACACAAGAACCCACTTGTGTTGTATGACACGGGTCATACAACAGGAAGACTTTATCATCCTAACCATAAAGAAGCAGAAGAAAATGATTTGAATTGTAACTTTATGAGGATGGTGGAGACCTTTAAAGAGGAAATGAAAATTTCCATGAAAAACTGGAGGAAAAGACAAACAAAAAAATTGGAAATCAATAAATTCCTCAAAGAAAACCAAGAAAAAAACAATCAAACAGGTAAAGCAAGCAGTTCAAGACTTGAAGACTTAAATAGAGGCAATAAAGAAAATACAAACTGAAAGAATTCTGGATATGGAAACTCTGAGTAAACAAATGGGAACTAGAGAGGCAAGCATAAACAAGAGAATACAAGCGATGGAAGAGAGAATCTCAGACATTGAAGATACAGTAGAGGAAATAGATCCATTGGTCAAAGAAAATGTGAAATCCAACAAATTCTTAACATATAACAGGAAATCTGGGACACCATGAAAATACCAAACCTAAGAATAATAGTAATAGGAAGAGAACTCCAGTTCAAAGGCACAGAAAATATATTCAACAAAATCATAGAAGAAAACTTTCCCAATCTTAAGAAGGATATCCCTATGAAAAATCTCATAGAACACCAAATAGACTGGACAAAAAAAAAGTGCCTCACCATATAATAATCAAAACACAAAACATACAGAATAAAGAAACAATATTAAGAGCTGCAAAGGCAAAAGGCCAATTAACATATAAAGGCAGACCTATAAAAATTACACTCAACTTCTCAATGAAAATCATGAAAGCTAGAAGGTCCTGGAGAGATGTGCTACAGACACTCAGAGATCACAGATCTTTCCATCACCATAGATGGAGAAAACAAGATATCTGATAATAAAACAATATTTCAACAATACCTATCCACAAATCCAGTCCTAATAAAAGTACTAGAAGAAAAACTCCAACCCAAGGAAGCTAAACTGCACCCACAAATACACAGGCAACAGAAAAACAAATCAGCAAAACCTAAAGGGAAACACACAAACACTACCACTGAACAATAAGAGGATTTAACATTCACTGGTCATTAATATCTCTGAATGTCAAAGGACTCAATTCATCTATAAAAAAAACACAAAAACAAGATTCAGCCTTCGAATGTATACAAGAAACACACCTCAATCTCAAAGACAGATATTACTTCAGAGTAAAAAGTTGGGAAAAGATTTTCCAATCAAATGGACCTAAGCAATAAACAGGTGTAACTATCCAAACATCTAACAAAACAGGCTTCAAACTAAAATCAATCAGAAGAGATGGAGGATACTTTATACTCATAAGAGGAAAATCCATCAAGATGAAGTCTCAGTCCTGAACATCTATGCCCCAAATACAAGAGAACCCACATATGTAAAAGAAACATTACTAAGCTTAAATGGCACCTCAAACCCCGCACACTGATAGAAGGAAACTTCAACACCCCAATATCCACAATGGACAGGTCAACCAGACAGAAACTTAACAGAGAAATAAGAGAACTAACAGATATGATGAAACAAATGGAGTTAACAGACATCTACAGAACATTTCAACCAAACACAAAAGAATATATCTTCTCCTCAGCACCTCATGGAAGCTTCTCTAAAATTGACCACATACTCAGTAACAAAGCAGACCTCAACCAACACAAAAGAAAATGGAAGAAAAAAAACCCCTGTATCTTAATGGATCATCATGGTTAAAAGTTAGAAATTAACAACACTAATTGATAAAGTCTACAAACTCATGGAAATTGAGCAGTGCCCAATTGAACTACCCTTTGGTCAAAGGAGAAATAAAGAAAGAAATTAAAGATTTTCTAGAATTCAATAAAAGTGAAGGCACAACATACTTAAACCTGTGGGACACTATGAAAGCGGTGCTAAGAGGAAAGTTCATTGCACTAAGTGCCTACATAAAGAAAGAGGGAAAAAAAATCTCACACTAGTGACTGAACAGCACACCTGAAAGCTTAGAACAAAAGGAAGCAAACTTACCCAGGAGGAGTAAAAGACAGGAAATAATCAATTGAGGGCTGAAATCAATAAAATAAAAACAATAAAAAAAATGAGACAAAGAGGTGGTTCTTTAAGAAAATCAACAAGATAGATAAACCCTTATCCAAACTAATCAAAAGGCAGAAATAGAACATCAAAATTAACAAAATCAGAAATGAAAACGGAGACATAACAACAGACACTGAAGAAATCCAGAGAATCATTGGGTCATACTTCAAAAACCTGTCCTCCACGAAATTGGAAAATATAAAAGAAATGGACCATTTTCTGTATAGGTACCACATACCAAAATTAAACCAAGACCAAGTAAACAAATTAAATAGACTTACAACCTGCAAGGAAATAGAAGCAGTCATCAAAATCCTCCCAACTAAAAGAAGCCCAGGACTAGATGGTTTCAGTACAGAATTCTACCAGAACTTCCAAGAACTGGTAATACCTGTACTCTTCAAAGAGTTCCACATAATAAAAACAGAAAGAACATTGCCAAACTCTTTTTATGAGGCTACAGTTACTCTGATACTGAAACCAAACAAAGACTCAACCAAGAAAGAGAATTACACTTTGTTTTCTTACTTACACTTGTTTTGTGTTTTTAACCATATGGAATCTTGACTGCTTTTTATTTAGGAAGTCCTTTGTGTCTTTAAAGTTAAAAATGTTTCTGAGGAATGTAACCATTATCCTAAAAGCAATATTTTCTGTCATTTTACTTGTATGTAATATTTCTTAATTCTCTTATCATTCGTATATTTATCATTCATAAATATACGAATGATTTATCTTTTCATAGACCACACTGTACTCCGAATCATAAATTAAAGAAGCTCTTTTATTATGGCACTGCAGATTGAATCCAGGACCCAGCAACTGCTAGGCAAGCTCTCTACTACTGAGCAATGCCCAACTCAATTCTCAAGTGCTTCAAAAACAAAACTTATTTTCAACAATCTTTCGTCATGTCTTTCTAAAGTATCCTATTTCTAAATCTTCTAGTTGAAGAATCAATATGTGAAAAAAAAATAATCAGGAAGAAAAATCTGAGAATCAGAAATCCCATAGCATACCACATGTAATCAACATGAAATTCATTATTGTAGATATAAGTGAAGTTCTTACCTGCATGAGCTGCTGCTTCAATTTCTGAATTTCTGAAATGTTCAGCTCACTGAATAAGTCAGACACGGGGTGTAGGGATTCTCCTTTCCGTGATGTGGGAGTACGATAGTCTCCGTTAAGTTTCCCAAGAGGCCCATGGATATGCCCATTCATCTTGTCGTCATTGTTTGGCTCACTCCCATCCTCAGAAAACTTGAGCCCATCTACCGAGATGCTGATGTGGTTATCACTGAGGGTGATGTATTGGGACAGCTCCTTCCTCAGGTTGTTTTTTTGCTCTCTTTCATTTTTCAATGTCTCAAGGGCTTCTTCCAACTGATGCTCTGCAATCTCTTTCAGTCGGATGGCATCTTCCAGTTGGCTGTTCAGTAACACTGTTTCTTCTTCAAATCGCTTAATTTCATGTTTTAAGCCTTCGTATTCAACCTAAATTAGATAGGTTAAAGAAGATTCATAAAGATAAAATTTTGACCTTAATAAAAATTTCCATTAAACACTCTAATGTATTTAATCATTTAAGTAAAATATAAACAGTCTACAAAATAAAAAATAAAAACTGCATACTACATTCTTAGGATAACACACAATAGTTACATAGATACAAACAGGTGTGTTTGTATCTATGATACAAACAGATACAAACTGTGTGTGTGTATATACACACCTAGCTATATTTTAAAGAATAAAAATACATAATTTAACACCCAGAAGAAATGAAAAGGTATCTATTTTACTAGGATATATTTTAGGACATAGTGGACAAATTATCCATTATTTATTAGAATCCATTGTTTTCCTAATAAACAACAATAAAATATTTTGATATTTTTTCAAATTTTTAATATGTAGCACCCAAGGAAAAAGTCTTTATCACCACTGTTTTATTTCATTAATTAAAAATATAGTTTTAGTATTCAGACAAACATTTGTTTAAAAGATCACAAGAAGACCAAAATTTCAATAAAACATTTTTGAGAATAAGATTTAAAAAAGCCAAAAATTTAACTCCAAATAATGAATATCTATACTGTTAGTAATGTAATATCTTCTTTAATTATAATAAAGAACCTGCTCAAATAACCTTTGGCCAGAGGCACCATAGATGACAGTGTATCTGAGCTTGTATGTGTTCCTGGAGACTCTTCCACGATACTGTGCCACCTTTTAAAAACATGTTTTCTGGGGCACACATGGTGCTACATTTCTTTAATCCAGAACTCTGGAGGTAAAGGCAAGTAAATCTGTGAGTTTGAGGCCAACATGGACTGCACAGTGAGTTTCCAGGCTAGTCCAGGTTACATATTGATAGCCTTTCTCAATAAAAAAAATTAAGTACCTTTTGATTCTCCTAGGTATCCCTTAGTATGTCAATGCTCCTCCACAATGTTTAAAACCAAATTCTGCTCTTCAATAAGCATTTGCTTAGTAAATAACTATTCTGAAAAAAACTAGAACAAGTAATAAACATTATACTACTAGATACTAATATAAACTGTACATTTAGTTTTTTATCTGTTTGTATTTTTATTGTTTAAATTGAAACAGGAATCATATACCACTATTGCTTTCATATATATTTTTAACTCTTCCTCCTCCTTCCTTTTATAATATTAATGGAATTATTTATTTTGAAAATGTTGAGATACCTGTTTAGTTGGGATATAGATTTGACTGAAATAAATAAGACCTAATTGAAAATGCCTTAGTTAAGATACAAGGACTTTTTCCTGTGTAACAGAATGGGAATAGATAGCCATGGCAAGCTTGGCATCTCAGCTCCATAAGATCCTCTGTGAACCAGACTTCTCTCTTGCTACGTAACTTCCTACTACAGTCCACACAAAGAATCTATGCCAGAGGCAATCATGTGACACTCTAGCAAAACATCTAGCAACATTCTGCCCATGTAGATCTGCAGTGATAAAGAGTAATAATTGGAGTAGAAGGGTGATGTGTGATTCCCCTCTGTACGCTGTGAATACCATAGGTGAACAAAGAAACTGCCTTGGCCTGTTGATAAGGCAGAACTTAGGTAGGTGGGGAAAGCTAAACTGAATGCTGGGAGAAAGGAGGCAGAGTAAAGGAGAAGCCATGGAGCTGCCACTGGAGACAAACACGCTGAAACTTTGTTGGTAGGCCACGGCCTTGTGTGATGCACAGATTAATGGAGATGGGTTAAATTAAGATGTAAGAGTTAGCCAATAAGAAGTTAGAGCTAATGGGCCAAGCAGTGATTTAATTAATACAAATTCTGTGTGATTATTTTAGGTCTGAGCTGCCAGGCAACCAGGAAACACACTATCAGCCACCCTATAACAGAAGGGTAGTAAAAATCTATCTCTTTAAAAGCAGAGAACCGAAGCTCCAATGTCCATGTGATATCCAGCTCCTGGAAATGAATCAGCTAGTGTGATAAGATGGAACTATGTTCCAATACAAGGTGTCAGCAGAACTTCCTAGTGTCTGCTAGTACCATGTGGTACTGGTTTTGCAGGCATGAGAGATGTAATATTGAAAGGATCATGAAGTCTTCTTCCATAGTTTCAAAGACTTTGGGGACCAACCAGCATGTGGCATGGATAAAGTTCCTGAAAGAAGGTCCTGAGAAACCATTGAGTGAAGCTGTGAGGGTGAACCAAACGTTGTAGTGGAGGTTTAAAATATTGGAGATACCAGAATCATGAGCCATCTGCCAAGGAAAGCTGTAGGTATGCTATGAAGCCTACCTAAGACAGAGGCTATATATACTGCAGAAGACAGGGCTAGAGGAATGGGGTACAGTCACTTTCATCACAAGCCCCAGATGGCAGACATGAAGCTGTAGGATTCAGTTAGACTAAATACATTTTGCACCAAGTAATGTCCATGGGATGAGTGGGGTAGCCAGAAGCAGAATGTTGTGGTTTGAATGTGAAATGTCCCCTATAGGCTCACATGTCTGAATACAGGACTCAAGAAGATACAGGCAGAGAGACAAAGGGGAAGTGGAGATATGAAAGAAAGGGGGAAGAAAATAAGAAAGGAAGGAAAGAGAAGAAAGGAGAGATGAAAACTGATGGGAGAAATGGGGGAGGGACAGAAAAGGGCAGTTAGAAAAGAAGGGAAGATAGAAAGAAAGGAAAGGGAAAAAGAAGAAATTGGGTAAAGGAAGGGACATTGGGGAAGGGAAGGGAAGGGA